GTCGCAAAAGTCCGCTGTGAGCCAACTTTCAAAATTTCCATGCACGCCTGTAAAGATTTTCGCCAAAAAAAGAAAACAACGTTGCTCTTTATCTCTCGAAAAATATTTTCCTTCGGTGGTCCCGATGATCTTTTCCCGAAATCTTTCCTTCCGGTGGCACGAAGTTTATCTCGACGACGCGGGAAGCTTAAAATTAACTCGATTAAAATTGCGGCGAATATTTAATACATGCCACTTTGGCTTTTCCAGCGTCACGCGTGCAAATTCATAGAGAAACCGCCCACATTTTCCGATCGCTCCTAAAATTATCGGCGCGGTCAAAACCAGGCCCATTGATTACACCACTGATAATTGCCATTGCAGTGCATGCTCCATTCAATTCGATCTCTTTCGCTCATCTCGCGTACTTCACAGGCCCTATCGCGGTTCTTGGTGTAAAATTCGAAACCAAAATTTAGAATCGAGATGTAGCTTGCGCGAAAATTTGATACAATTAATTTGCTTGTCGATATATAATATACGCGTGTTAAATAAATATATTTACGTAATTTTTAAGACACTTGTGTACAAGACGTTCACGTTAAAGGCAAGTGCATGCATGTAGCCGACGCAAGCAAATTAGATTCGATATTTGCAGAAGCGGACTGTGTTACATGTGTAGGACATTGCACGCAAAACTAGACGCCCTGTTTGCAGAAACGGACGGCTACTTCGATCTCCGAAGCGGCGTTGTATCTATAACTACCGGCTTTCCACCGCGCGTACTCTAGGATTACATTTTGCCTGCGAGCGATACTTCTCTGAGATACACTCGCGCGTGTGTATAACTTCTGATTAGTATCGCGCACGGTATCGATTTTGATGTTATTCGCTGAAGTAGGTAATCTATGCATCGCGCAAAATATATCGTTTGCTTTTCCAAACTTGTATTAAAGGCATAAAACTGCATCGAGGTGTTCCATTATTTAAGTTTAACTGCATCGAGGTGTTCCATTATTTAAGTTTAACTGATATTTAGTCGATAGAGACAAAAAGGGGGCTCGTGTATGTTTATAAAGGTAACTGTTTTAATCTATAATCTGACATAACATACACACACACACACACACACACATGAAAGTATACTTTAATACTTTATTTTTTCGAATCTTCAAGAATCTTCGCGATAAGTTTCAAGTATATTATACGCAAAAATATACATGACATGTAAAAGACGTGACAAGTTTCGCATCTCGAAGACGCTATTTCAAGCTGTGCTATTAATAAATTTAATATCTGGTTATATTATGTGATCAAATGAGACGCGCGTGCTTTGCTCGCGATAAACTGGAACGAGATGAAATTCAGTTTCCTTTCGGAGTTCCATCGGGCTTTCGCCTGTCGTCAAATCAATTCATCGTGACGCGAACGTACTCCGATAAACTTTATTTCTTCGCAATATGTCGCGATCGTTAATTGCTTAATTTCGGATTTTACTCGTCGGTCCTGATTTTACTCGACTGATTAAACTCGATAACGAAATCCACGACTACGAATAAATTTCGCGTATGTGTGCCTCCACCGTAACGAAAACCGATTTTGTGAATTGACGAATAATTACGCCGAATCTTTTCTTCTTTCCGATCTTTTTACACTGCAAAATTTATAATAGCAAAAAATCTGTTGGAATTTAAAATAATAGAGACCTCAAAAATGTGAGAAATTCATCATTTTATTTTTTTTATTTTATTTTGTTATACAATAATTAATAAAGCAAAGCAAATATTCCTGTGCATTCCTGATTTATTAATCGGATATTTATTGAGTTCAATTGCAGAGTTGATAAATAATATTCCTCATCAAAGTATAAAGAGATTGTCGAGTAATTGGAATCGATTGCGAAGGGAGAGAGACATATGAAAGAGTGGAAATATAAAGCACGCGTATCATTTTTGATCGCGCAAAAGTACGGCAAATATCGTCCTCGGAGCCTCGTAGAAATTAAGCTCCCCGAAGGAGGGGTGTCATCGCCCATCGTAGATTGCTCCGGATGATGCACGATACGCTATGAGCTTCATTTAATTTGCTGCCGTATACCCAGCTTTTACGAGATAAATTGCGCAAAATTATCGATGACACCGTTAAACGTTACGCGAATATCACCTGTTTGTCAGCCAGATGTGACGTTTAATAATTATTACATGTCATTATAATTGCATTATATGTAATTGCATGACTTGGAAGTCGGATCAACGTCGAATTTTCTTTCTTATCCGTAATCCATTTAACCTAAAAAGTAATAAATTAAATTCTAATATTAATAATATTATCATTTTAAATAATTTCATTCTTTATTAAAAAAATTTGACAAAACTATGGAAACTTGGAAGATTTAAAATTATTATTAATCACACGATTCGTGTCGCGCTATAGCAATATTTGACGCTATAACAATTTCTGATATATTGCACGAATAGAATAATTTATTGGTCGCCTTTTGTACAGATATTACTGAAATGTAATTGCGAAGTTTGTAAGAATATATATAGATACACTGCGCGGTACGTGCAATTGCGATTTTACAAATTACGAGCGAGCGCGATACCAAAGGAAAGGACGTACTTGAAGAAAATGAATTGGAAATGAATAGCAACATCGAGAAAAGCAATTCGCACGCTCTTGCGCATCGACTTTGATGCGGATTTAATTAATCTACGCCCGGAGCTTAGTCCGTGCGCGCGCAGCATCAAACGAGCTTAACACAGGGAGCTTTCGCGAGACGTTTTCCATGCGAAAATCCTACAGTGATATCTCCTCAACGTTCCCTTGCCGTTTCAAGAGACTGTCTGAAATAGGAAGAAAAAAGGAAAAGAAATGAAAAAGAAGTGTAGAGAATCCGGAAATCGGAACGAAATGCCACGGCGTCAAAAATAAAAGAACGAGAAGGCAGCGCCAAAATAAAGAGAGAAAGAAAGAGAGAGAGAGAAACGGCGATCACGTCGATTGATTGGCACGTTGACGTGCGTGGCCACGATGGATGACGCTTTATTTTCCACGGTACACCCCGATTATGGATTGAAAAGCGGCCATAAATCCTCGTGAATACTTTACAGGTACGTTCCGGCAGGTGGAAATAGAGGGTGGCGGAGGGGGAAAGGGTGCAATTTCATCGCGGTATCACGAGGGAAAGAGATGGTAAGGTGAAAGAGGAAAGAGGAAGGATGACCGGATGGAAAAAGAAGGGAAAGGGGAGGAAGAGGCTGGCTCGAGCCAGCCAGCCGAGGTGTTGGCGGATGATGTTACGGTGGATGCCCGAAAATTGAATTCGTTGGAACGCGAAACGCGGTTTGATTAAGTGCTTTCGTCAAATAGCCGAGCTGTACCGTACCCGATAACGTTATCGTTCTCGATTTTTGATCATGAGAGATCGCGTCGGATCCATTCACGTAAATTGACTCGCTTAATCGTCTTCCAATTGCGCTTTTCTTTAATTGCGGCGTTTTCCCTCGTGGCCGATTCCCTCGTCGAGGAATTTTTGCATGCGGAAAAATCAACGTGCATGCTTTCACACGGCGATTACACACTTGCTAAGCTCCGATAAGCAAAATTGGCGAGCATAGAATTTTTTTTTTACGGCTGAGCAGACAAGGCAATATCAGCAGGCAATTATATCGGTGCACCACACGCGAATCTAATTGCACAAATATGTATATATTTAATAGGAGGCTGGTGCCTTGCCGAAGTGCTGAGATTGCGCGAATAGTGAATTTAAATAACTTTTTTTCTTTTGGCCTTGGACTCGTGAAAAATAGCGAATACCGGAAAATTTTTGCGAATGAGTCATATTTTTGTGAGCCAGTAGGTACATATCTTTTTCTTGAATCGCGCACGGGAATTCGAGCAATATTTCGAAAGAAAGAAAAGACTGCATTCTCGTACATATATATTGTCGATTCGCGAAAAATAAATTTGTCGTTTTTTATCCGATATATCGAGAAACAATATTTTTGCATTAAAGCAGTAAATTATGTATTAAAAGTAACGTCAAGACGACTTTTAAATTAGAAGAAGTTCATAAAACAATGTATATATATATATATACTTAGAGAAAATTAGTTAAATTTAGCAAACAAAAGCTAAAAATGTGGTGCCTGAGGCTGCATAATTTACGAAAGAAACTAAACGCAGCGAAAAAGTGAAGTGAAGGAGAGAAGAGGGAGGCGGCGAGTATCATAACCGCGTTGATAAAATGCCGGATACGTTCGACGTATGCGCGTAACTTCCAAAATAATGGAAAAAAGCAAGAGAAATATCCTGGACGGTTTATCCGACTCCGCTTCGATTTCGCGAGGGCGAATATTCGGCGAAAAAATATCGCCGCGCTTAATCCGCAAACGATCATAGCTACATACCGTACCCGATACATGCATATCCTACGCCGAATTTGTATCAAAGAGTGGAAAACAGGATGTTTTTTCAGCGATGGCTGCGTGCATAATTCAAGAGACGTGAATATCCACGATTTGATGTTAAGCACATCCTGAATTTTTCGTGAATCGAATGTCACGAGAAAATCGCGTGAAAACGATCCCCTAAAAATTTCGCTAAACGAGTGAAGTAACAAGATCGATAAGGCTTTGAATATTGTTTTAAGTAAGACAATAAAACTGGGCTAATAAAAGTCGAGCGTGAGGTGAATAAAATAAAACGCGAAAATAAAATAAAATTCTTAACGGTTATTGAGCAAATTTATTATTAATAAAGTACCGTGCGCGGTTATTTTATTTACCCAGTTTTATTGTCTTATTTAACAAGTGTGTTGTTGGAAAAATCAATTAAATCGTCAAAACATTTTGAGAAGAAGATGAAAGTTTTAGATGTCGTGTATCTTTAAAAACGTTTATTTATTTTAATTCAACATTTTTAGTTTCCTGTTTGAATGGATGCGCGCCATTTTTATATATATTTATTTTCCTCTATCTCTCGTATGGCACTTATACAAATTTTCCTTCCTATTGCAGTTCCACCAGAGCAGCCAACCATCTTGGATCGGTGGGGTCGCATCTTGAACGGCACAGCTGGCCCTTACGAGGAAGGAGATGCACCGTATCTCACGTGTCGCGTCACGGGCGGTAAGCTGGCACAAAATACAGTAATATAATATGTATGCGCTGAGAAACGTTTATCTGCATCCCTGCTAACTGCACCCGACACATCTGCACTCGGTTACATAGAGTGTCCCAAACTTTTCGTTACTACGAGCTCTCGATCGATATTTCGACATTTTCTCTAAAAAAAAAAGACTAAATTATACAATGAAAAATTAATTAAAGATTAAAGATACTAGAGGAGAGGACTTTGATATTTGATATACGCGCTGAAAGAGATAACGTACGAGGATTAGGAATAAATCAGCGCGCGGATATATTTCATCTTCGGGAAGAGAATTTCTTCCCCGTTCGATCCATCTCTCGAGAAGAGTTCTCTTCCTCCCGTCAAATCTCCTTTCCGAGTCACACGCGGCGCATTTTCGAAAGGTCGTCGCTCGCGACAACCTCACCGCGAAATCGTTTTGCGGAAACTTCGATCGCGCGGTCGGAGTCGTTGGTGTCGCCGGTTATTAGATCAGCCAACTTTTTATCGGCCGTCGTGGCTAAGTGAAAAGTTCAGCGAGACTCTCGGTCGCTCTCTACTCCCCCGAGTAGAGAACGGGGGAGTCCCGGGTGGATCGGGTGGACGAGGGTGAAAAAGGAGCTCTCTACTCCCCGAGTAGCGCTCCCCGCTGTTTACTTTAGCAACTGGATCTAAATTTCTGTTTATAACTGCGGCGCAACTTCTTCGGCGGCCCGCCTTAAAAGATTATTTCCAACCTCCCTTCGTTTTCAACCCTGCTCGCGCGTCGCCCATCCTCGGTGGCGTCGCTCCGTTTGACGGGGAAGAGGCATCCTTGGAGCTTTCGGCGTGATTAAGCATCGCGCTATCGTCATTCGCATGACTGGAAATACCGAAGGGCGAAGGGGGGAGACGTGAGAAACGTCGTTGAGGGATCTTAAGTCGCGTCGCGGCAACATTTTCGGCAGACTCGACTCGCGCATCCGCATCCGTTTGAATATTCATTGCCGCTCTGTCGTTGTGCGTCTCTCTTTCTCCTCTCATCGTTATTTAATTGTTTCAATCAAGAACTTGTATAAACGCAGATTCGGAGATGCAGCGCATTATAATTTGAGGATTTGCAAATTAATTACGATTAAGAATTTATTACTCGCCGAGAGAAACGCTCTATATTCATGTAAATTGACAGCGCGTTAAGAATTTTATAGGAGCGCTTTTATCGTGGATATTCGTCGCGTTTACGAATAATTATCACGAGTAACGATTGAACGCTGCGTTTTTTACATGTATTATGGTTTGGTTGCTTCGACCATGCGAAACAAAATCCAATTCTTCCTATGAAATGCACAAATATGTTGAATCGATGTAATCTGTCAACGACAAATTTCTATCGAATCGTTTGTCCATCGATGAACAACGTTGTACATCACGATATCGTCCATCCTTTCTGTACGATCGTTAAAAGCGAAACAAAAAAAGAGACAGAAAGAGAGAAAAAAAGATATAGGAGGCTTCGTTACTGCAAGAGGAGATAAATCCCGTTGTTAGAATCGCTCTCGGTTCTCGAACAATCATATTAGTCATCGTTGCCAAATGCCGGGCAATGGATAACGGCGATTCGCGATGTGCCCTTGTTCATCCGCGAGTCCCGCTTCGACGGATATATCGAAATATACGAAGCCGGGAATATTGCCGTATGCAGATTCAATGGGAATTGCATTCGCGTTGTGCATCGATCAAACGCACTGCGGCGTATAAATTGAATATCGAGAAGATCGGCTTATCCTTAACAATACGTTCGACGTCGCGCCAAAGATTCTTTCGTCGATGAATCCGCCGTTTTAATTTAATTGTAAATAACACTTACGAAAGAAGCAAGAGAGGGAGAGACATTGTTTTATCTGTCCTTTTCCATTTTTAATCGCTGGCAGAATCCGCGATTCGATCCCGCGGCTGCGACACAGAATGCGACATATAATACGCGCATTAAATGTCAAGCGAAGTCTCTTGCCAGGCAGAGAGGACAAAGCGCGCGAGTGAAAAGAAAAGGAGAGAGAGAGAGAAAGAGAGGTCGCGTGTTTTTATTTAAAATTAAAAGCTCGCGCTTGTTAAAACGATCGGGACGACGTTACCCGGTTGTAAGTGACAGGCTGACACGTGATATTCCGTTTCGCGAGGACCTTTTTTGCGCGAACGAACGTGCGTAATTCGCGTAGTTATCAAAACGCCGAAAACAGATTCGCGCGGCGGAGGAAGGGATATCATCGGAGCCGGCATACATTTATATAAGAGAGGAAATTTTATATACGTACAAATATACATATTCTCTCTCTCTCTCTTTCTCTCTCTCTCTCTCTCTCTCTCTCTCTCTCTCTCTCTCTTTCTCACATAATGACGCACGTTCGAGTTGCATTATCGAATTTTACGAAAGTTACGGTTCCGATGCTTCTCCGCCCGCGGCGGCCGTTATTTCCGTCGCTCGTTATCTTTTACACACGTTTATCCGAGTCGCGGATCCGCGCCGGAAAATTGTGCCGGAGAATTGGCGCAAAACCTGCGTCTCGGATACGCCCCGGACGGTCTAATCTTCATAAAGCGAATGCAACCGCCGCAGCCAGCCGCGACGAAATCCGAAAATAGGAGTCTCTCTCTCTCTCTCTCTCTCGCGCGCGCGCGCGCAATTTCCTTCGTTTTGTAAAAACGGCGCGGTGCGCCGCGTAATTAAGCGGCGCGCAATGTCGACGTTGATGTAATAAAAATGAGAATTTAATATCGCGCTCATCATTCTCGAGTTTGCCACGCTTGCCATCTAAACGGATCGATCGATGGTAAAATGCCGCGTGTACGTAAATAAGATTTTGAATTAGTCTACACGCGGTCCCTTTAACGTCAGAAGGACATTAAAACAGTCACAGCGTCGCACGTTTTAATTTATACGTAAATTAGTCGGGTAAGCAGTTTTAAAAGTCAATTTCTGCCGTGGTATTCTTTCTCGCGTTCGTTTCTTTTTTCCAAAATAAACGAGAAGAACCGCGCGCAAGAGAATCGAGCCGCGATTATACACTCTTCTCCCTCAAGTACTCCCTTACACGCGACTTACAAGTAAGCCTAACCCCTCTCACACGGGATATATCCGTGTTATCTATAATTTATGACAATGCCGGCGAGAAAATTTTACGACTCGCTTCGCGCGCCGAGAGAATTTATTGCCAATTACTTGACTTCGTGCCCGGAAAGAATCGAGGGTCCCTCCGACGAGGATGTATACGCGCGTGAAGGGCTCTTTCGTCCTCCTCGCCGCATACGCGGGGAAAATTTCCGCCCACCCCTCTCTCGTCCCATCTCGTATAAATTCCGATATCGCGGGTTGATCATCATCGATAACGGCCCTCGAATTCATTCAAGGAGGGTGCAACCTCGGTAAGCGCCTCGCGACTCCGTATTCCGGTCGCACCTCGAATCGCTCCTCGAAAATGAAGAAACGATTATCGGCGTGCGAGGGAAACGAATGACTTCGAGGACCCTCGCACGGTTGTAAAAAAATAAAATAAAGTTCCTCCCCTCTTGATTATTCTCGCACAAACGATGGGAAGAAATAATTTCGCCATCGATGAGACTCGCGGGAAAACGAGAAAAACAACATTTTGAGATACGATGTTCATCGACAGAGCATTCACGTTAATCCCGGCGACAAGCACGTGACGAAAATCAAGATGTTGGATTCGATTTCGGAGGCCCAGTGTTTTTAAAGCGACGCATAGCAATTAAATGCAAATTCCAAGATCGAAGATATACAATTTTCCACATTTCTAACAAGAATTAATATCGAGCCGGGTGTCCTCGATAATAAAATTATTTTCAAATATTTCAAAATATTATTTACGATGTTTTTCTTTCATTTATTTTTTTGCTTTATTATTTATATTATTTTAAGCTTGCACGTTTCTTAAATCGCGTTGCACACATTTATCATCGACATAATCCAAACATAATTATGCAATATTTTCAAAAACGATAATTTTATATCGATAATAATTGCAAATAATTGCTTATTCGAAGTTTTTTTTATAAGATGTAATCAAGTAAACCAATTTTTTAACATAAAAAATTTACCTTGAAATTTAAATTATGTGAAATAACTTAAAATGTTATACCAGTAGAGAATAGTTTGCAAATCGCAATAGTTTTATGTGTAAATGTAAAAAAAAACACTAAATTAGTTATAATTAAGTTTGTTCATTTTGTTTGCATTTTTTACACTTCTTCGCTTTCTTTTTTTTCTTAAGAAATATATGATATATGAAGAAGTAAAAAAGACTATTCATACAAATTAACATTGATAGAGAAATTGATCAATCAAGTGTGTAATGTAACAGCAGGATGCCATATTATAAGCATGTTCAACCTTTACTAAAGTGTGATCGATTTTCATAGATATATGTATATCGATCGACTAGTACATTTTCTTTTTTTTTAAAGTTCGAAAAAGATAAATTCATTCTACCGAAAATAAAAAATAACTACTAGTGGATACTGGTGTATGGCATCATACAATTTATTTTTTTATATCTTGCAAAAATACTTTTGTGCTTTTTTACAATTAATCTGATGGCTGCGCCTACACTTCATCCATTAAAAGTTGAAAATTGGGTGAATAATGATTAAGAGCTAGTCCCATTGAGTCTTTCACATGTTTGTCTATCAGACTGCAACGTTGGGAAATTTTAATCATGTTTAAATAAAAAATATCACAAATATGTAGAATTCCAAAATAGGAATAAAATACATTTCGTTGCATGCTTTCGTTGCATTTCATTCTTAAGCTGAAAATAAGACATGTCGACAAATTGGGCAAATCTGTTATCTATTTGACGAGTGATCAAGCAACGTGTCGCTCGAAAATATAAAAAAAGAGAAAAGAAATATCAGAAAATATATAAAACTACAAATTGTATATAATGATGGCAATCGTGATTTTTCCGCTCTCTCCCTTTCATAGCAATAGACATCATAGCGAGCT